CTTACCTCTTGTACTTTTCTGACTAGGATTCGGTATTCCTTCCCCTCCTCCTCCTCTCGACTCCTTCTTCTGTCCATCCTCGTCCTCTCCCTCGCTGTCTGCCTCCTCCCCGGGGTCGTACCCTTTGCTCGTCGTTGGTTTCTGGAACTCTCCGCGAAGACCTCCCTCGAACAGCTTACCTCCCCTCCTGAAGGATAGCGAGACAGTGACGTCACACCAGCTATGCATACATGTATAATGTAAAGTAAAGTTGGTCGCTTTTTAAAGCACAAGGGGGCTGTGGATGGTTGGCGGGTGCTCTGGTGTGGTTTGCTCCTTCTTTCCTATCAAACATCTATCGTTCCGATCCCCCTCCTTCTGTTTTATGTTTGTTACTCTCTTGTAACACCTCTATTCTTCTGGCGCTCATATGACCTTATGCAGTTGCGAGCGTCGTAAAACCTCTACTAAAACATAAAACAATGGGGCTATCCGCTAAAAATGATATTTTGAGAAAATCGAAGGTAAAGTTGTTGTCCCTTGTTCTGTCTCTCTACTCTCTAGGGGGAGGTGGGCTGGTTTTAAATTGATGATTTTTGGTCAATTTATGGTATCTGGACTTTTTATGTATTATAACGCTCCAATCACTTGTAAATCTAAAGAGCGCTTACTCTTTGTGTTACAATCATCATCTTCCAGTTTGACACTATACTGCAGTACTCTGACAAAACGCTCTTTTTATTATTCACAGTAGTTTAGAGAAATCAGAGATTTTTTGGTTTTCTTATAATATCTGTTTAGCACAGGGAATAATTTATCTCTTCAGGGTGTGAGATCAAACGTTGATGTGCTGTGCGATATAACTATTAGAGGAAAAACGAAAAAAGCTGATTACTCGAACCTACTGTGAATAGGAAAACGGCGTTTTGTCAGCGTACTGCTGTATAGGCCTACCCGTTTTTCCCGTGGACTTCTCAAATAGAATTGTAAATCAATGCCCCACCCCTACCACCACATTTGTTAGGTTTTTTTCTTTCTTTGGGAGGGGGGTGGTCCTTCCTTGACCCCCAGCCTTCCAAATAAGAAACAGAAGGTTAAATCATGCAACTGATGTCGCACACAAACCTGAAGAAGAGAGAAAGAAATAAAAATGTACACAAAATATAATTCGCACACACACACACACACACACACACACACACACACACACAGCAGA